GGGATTAGGATTTTGGGGAACTGTGTCAGTGCCCCCTAGCTGGGGAATTACTAAGTGTTTTTAGGCAGACAAAGGCAGTCAGTGACACCTCTGTAGTGCCTGACACAGCCGTGCACTATTGGAATCTCCAGCCCGAGAGCTCCTGAGCAGCTCCAGCAAACTGTGGCAGGAATTTGACTGCCCACCCCTAAGGCTGAGCAGCCAAAGGGATCTCAGGGGGCACGTCAGCTACCTGTCCAGCTGGAGGATTTCTAAGGGATTTTGAAACAGCTGTGAGGCCACAGCCAGAGGAGCAAGGAACCTCCAGTACTTTTTGCAGCTTGAGGTTCAAAACCACTCTCCAGACCAAAGGTCTTGGAACACCAAAGGATCTCCCAGATCCCAGGATCTCCCGCTGCTGCCAGCTTGGGTGTCCCGACAGGTTGGCTGGGGGGGTGTACTAAAATTGCACATTGGTGGGTATCTTTTCAAAGTGAGGATTTCCTTTTTCTAATTGGCAGAGACGTCTACGGGTGGATTGTACTGAGCACGAAGATCAGTCTGACACAGTTAAAAGGAAAAGACCACGCCAGCGTTGATGAAGAAAACACAGAGTTTGGAAGAGGAGTTATCATTTTGAGTTTCCAGTTCTTCAAGTGTTGAGTGTTAAATTTTTGGAGTTAGTTTTAATTGTAGCTATTGTTTCGTAGAAGATAGGCTGCTGTAGGTTTTGTTACTTAAGTAGAGTTTGTTACATAAAAGATAAGAAGTTTGTTTTGTATTCAAGTTCCCGTTGTTCTGGGTTTAGACTGTTTGCAAATATGTTTAAATTTTAACATATTTTTTAAATATTTTACAATTTAGGATTTGTAAAATTTAGGATTTAAAATTTTCCTCTGTGATTTTATAATGTGTTTATTGATAAATGTTATTTTGATAAAAAGTTCCCATTGTTCTGTTTTTAGACCGTTTGTAAGTATGTTTAAACATTAGTAATGTTGAGTTGCAAAATTTAGGATTTGAAATTTTCCTCTGTGATTTTATAATGTGTTTATTGATAAATGCTATTTTGATAAAAAGTTCCCATTGTTCTGGTTTTAGACCGTTTGCAAATATGTTTAAATGTTAGTAATGTTGAGTTGTAAAATTTAGGATTTAAAATTTTCCTCTGTGATTTTATAAGGTGTTTATTGATAAATGTTATTTTGATAAAAAGTTCCCATTGTTCTGTTTTTAGACTGTTTGTAAGTATGATTAAGTATTAATACTGTTGAGTTGTAAAATTTAGGATTTAAAATTTTCCTCTATAATATGTTTATTGATAAATGTTATTTTGATTAAAAGTTCCATGAAAGTTGACTGGGTGTGTTTGTCTCTTTTCCTGGGGGTTCCTGTGGCAGTCAGGGATGGAATGCCAAAGCCAAACAGTTCCTGGGGGTTTTCCTGGAACTCTGCTGAAAACTCCCGGAGTTGTTTTAAGGCTGATGAGCAAACGCCCCCTGGCCTGGGGGACTGGCCACTGATCATTTGGCAGCATGGCCGTAACTGAGATTCCTCCAATGAACAGTTTGCGGCAAATGCTCGGTTTTGGCAGCTGAGTACTCGAGGATAACCTGCAGAAGAGGAGCAGCCCCCCGGCTCAGAAGAAGCCCAGCACGGCTGAGTGCCGGGAGTGATGCTCGGCACCACCCCAGCAGAGCCAGCACCGCAGGGCGCTCAGCGGGACGGGACGGACGCACAGCCACGAGAGGGGGCTCGGGGAAGGCGCAACGAAGCCAATGCAAACATCTCATCCCAAAGCTCCCCCGCTGCAGCAGGTGGAGCTGGAAGGGAGCAGCCGGGGGGCTGTGCCGGAGGGAGACCCGTGTCCCGGGGGGTCTCCGCTCCAACCCCACTCGCCTCCTGGGCCACAGCCGGGCTCGGGTGAACCGGGGGAGACCAGGAACTGAAATACTAAATTTCTTCTATCACATGCATTTGTCCACAACTATTTTTTCCCAGGGCTTCTTTAAATACACCTTTAAATGCCCAAAGAAGCAAAGGTTCTCATAATATTTCTTCTCTAATGCCTCTAACTGTGCACGCATCTTGTATTAATGTAGTGGAAGAGTTGCCTAAAGTTCTGAGAAACCTTCTTGCCTTCTGAGGTTTTCCAAGGAGGATGAATTTGTTTTCAGGGAACTTTCACATCACCGTGATTTTGATTTTTTATTTTGTTCTTAAAGTTCCTTGTGGCAGGGTCCCAGAGCTCTTCCAGCCCTACTGATGATTAGTGCTTAGCCCTTACTTGGAACTTTACAGGTTCTGGCAGCTCCTCCATGAACCCACTGGTGTCTGAGTGGAGCTGCAGCTGCCGGACCTGCTGCTCGAGGAGCTCTGCACGGCGAGTGCCGGGAAGGGAACGGAGCTGGGGAAGGGGCTGGAGCAGCAGGAGCGGCTGAGGGAGCTGGGGGGGCTCAGCCTGGAGAAAAGGAGGCTCAGGGGGGACCT